TTTCTTTCTTTCTTTCTTTCTTTCTTTCTTTCTTTCTTTCTTTCTTTCTTTCTTTCTTTCTTTCTTTCTTTCTTTCTTTCTTTCTTTCTGTCAGTTGTGGGGCTTGAACTCTGGGCCTGAGTGCTGTCCCTCATCTCTTCAGCTAAGGCTAGCAGTGTTTTCTCTGTTTTCTGATGTAGTTTTGGTGTTTCAGGTCTTATGTAAGAGCTTTGATTTATTTTGCACTGACTATTGTATAGGATGAGATGGGGGTCTAGTTTTCAGTCTTAAGCATATAGACAACCAGTTTTCCCAACACTATTTGTTGAAGAGGTTGTCCTTTTTACAATGTGTATTTTTGGCCCCTTTGTCAAAACTCAGATGGGTGGAGCTGTGTGGTTTCATTTCTGGGTCTACTATTCCTTTTGTCTTTGTGTTATTTTTGTTACTATGGCTTGGTAAAGTAATTTACACTTTAGTATTGTGATACCTTTAGGATTGCACTTTTGCTCTGGATTCCTTTTGTTATTTGAGGTCTTTCATGTTTCCAGATGGATTTTTCTTTTTCTTTTTTTTTGGGGGGGGTCTGGTCTTGGGCCTTAACTCTGGACCTGGGCGCTGTCGCTCAGCTCTTCAGCTCAATGCTAGTGCTCTACCACTTGAGCCATAGCGCCACTTCCAACTTTTTTCTTTTTGCTTATGTGGTGCTAGGGAATTGAATCCAGGGCCTCAGGCATGCAAGGCAAGCGCTCTACCACTGAACAACCTTCCCAGGCCCTATTTTTCTATTTTTATAAAGAATGATATTGAGATTTTCATGGGAATTACATTGAATCTATAGATTACTTTCTGTAACACAACCATTTTCCACAATGGCAATTCTCTCAATCAATGAGCATGGGATATTCTATCTTCTGACATCTTCTTTGTTTTCTAAAAGGTTTTATAGTTTTCACTGTAGAGGTCTTTTACTTCCTTAGCTAAGTTTATTTCTAGGGTTGTTTATGTTCTGAGGGTATCGTAAATAAAATTGTCTTCCTGATTTCTTTCCTAGTCTTGTTTATTACTGTTTTGGCATGTCACTTTTTTTTTTATCCTGCTACATTGCCAAAAATGATTTTATTAGATTCAGGTTTTTTTTTTTTTCTGGAAATACTAAGGTTTGAACTCTAGTTCAGGGGCTGTGCTGCTGAGCCATATATCTAGCCCTATTTTTCCCTGGTTATATATTCTTACTTTCTTGATGAGATTAGGATTTGAACTCAGAGCCTCATACTTGACAGGCTGGTGAGATAGCAGTGAATCATGTTACCAGCCCTGTTTCTCATGAGTTATTTTTAGCATCAGGTTTTGCCTCCCACCTAGGCAATTCCCTGAACTATGATCCACATACTCTATTGACTTTGTGTCTTTGTTGGGATCACAGGATGTACACCACCACATCCAGCTTCCTGTGTATCACAAATTTTTCTGTACAGGCTGGCCAGGCACTATAATCCTTCCAGTCTCAGCCTCCCATGTGTCTTGGGTTAATAGGTATGTGCCAGTGTGCCCAGATATGTTGAGGAGTCTTGTAAACGTTTTTGCCCTGTTGGCCTTCAACTGTAGTCCTCTTGCTCCCAGCTTCTCAAGTAGCTAGGACGATAGGCATGAGCCACCAGCATCCAGCTCACATTGGCTATTTTTGAAATAGGTCTTACTTCCTACTTGGTCACCTGCCTAGACCACGACCTCCATGTTTTAGACTTCACAAAGTGGTTGACATGATAACTGTATACCACCATATCCAGCTTCTTCCATTGAGAGGGAGGGAGTCTTTGACTCTTCTAAACCACAATCCTCTGATGTACCTAGGATGACAGGTGTACACCTCATCACCTAGCTAGTTGTTAACAAGAACTCTTGTGAACTTTTTTCTACTCAGACTGGCCTTGAACCTCAGTCTTGCTGATCTCAGCCCCTGAGATAGCTAGGATTATAGGCATGAGCCACCTGTGCCTGGCTTTAGAGGAAATGATGTTTAGAAGTATGATGGGTTTGTCATAGATAGCCTTTATTATGTTAAGGTACATTCCTTTCTACTTCAGAGCTTTTTAATTATTAAATGGTGTTAAATTTTGTAAAAGTTTTTTTGTATCTTTTAAAAACACAAAGCAATTTTTTCTCAATTCTGTTTAAATACTGTATTACATTGAAATCAATTTTGATGAACTCAGTTGGCAATCTGCATTCTTTAAGGTCATGATTTGTTTACATGATTCTTTCTTTACAGTCTTTGTACATTTTTTTTAAAAAAGGACATTATTTATAGATGAACAGGTTGCCTTAAAGAAGAAAGAAAAAGAAGCTTGTGAAAAATGGAATAATCCTTGGAAAAAATCTGAGAATGATAAAATAATGTTGGAAAAACTTCAAATTCTTAACCAGTCTAGGGTAAGAGTTTTGAATATGTCTTAACACAATACATGTTAGCATAAGACACCTTAATTAAGTTTTTGTTTTTTGGGAGTGTGCGTGTGTGTTATTACCGGGGCTTGAACTCAGGTCCTGGGTTCTGAGGCTCAAGGCTGGTGCTTTATCAGTGAGGCACAGCTCAAGTAGCTAGGATTATAAGCATGAGCCACTAGCACTTGTCTTAACTTTGTGTAATTTTTCTAATAGTTGAGTTTAATTATGAACTAAACTAGTTTGGAGGCTCAACCTCATTTAGGCTCTTATAAATATAGGGGGTATTTTAAAATGCAACAGAAATTGAACACTAATCCTGTGATACCTATGAACCACAAAACCCTGTTTCCATGTCAACATAAGTGTGCCCTTAGGTGTTTTGTTTTGTATTTAGTTTATTTTTTTGTGACAATACTAGGGATTGTAAACACCAGACCATGCCCATGAACACCTAGGATATGTTTAAAGTGCCTTTGTTTTCTTTCTTTCTTTTTTTCTTTCTTTCTTTCTTTCTTTCTTCCTTCCTTCCTTCCTTCCTTCCTTCCTTCCTTCCTTCCTTCCTTCCTTCCTTCCTTCCTTTCTTTCTTTCTTTTCCTTCTTTCTTTCTTTCTTCTTTTCTTTCTCTCCCTCCCTTCCTCCTTTTCTTGACTTCTGCTGACTCTTCAAATGTTTTGTCACAGTCTCCTTGTCAGGTTACAATGGCTGATGGGTATTTACTACTTAGAGATAGCCAGGTTTTAGAGGTTAAGTCCCAGTGTCAATATTTAAACCCTTTATTACTTATTTCTATGTAACCTATTTGCCTTTAAGGAGTCTCTTTGATTTTTAATTACCAAATTATTTATTTATTTATTTTGGTTGGTCGTGGGACCTGAACTCTGGGCCTGGGCACTGTCCCTCAGCTCTTCAGCTGTCAATTAGTGCTCTACCACTTGAACCTCAGCCCCACTTCTGGCTTTTTCTGCTTATGTGGTGCTCAAGAATTGAACCCAGGGCCTCATGCATGCAAGGCAAGCACTCTACCACTGAGCCACCTTCCCAGCCCCATTAATTACCAATTAATTTTTGCTGAATGTATTATATAGCTTCTTATAAAAGAAGTTTTAGACCTTTTTTTTTTTTTTTTGGGTCTGGTCGTGGGCCTGAACTCTGGGCCAGGGCACTGTCAATCAGCTGTTCAGCTCAAGACTAGCGCTCTACCACTTGAGCCACAGTGCCACTTCTTTTTTTTTTTTTTTGCTTTTTTCTTTTTGCTCATGTGGTGCTGAGGAATGGAACTCAGGGCCTCATGCATGCAAGGCAAGCGCTCTACCACTAAGCCAACTTCCCAGCCCCCTCGACCATTTTTTAACTTGCATAATCCCTTCTTGTGAACATTTATATTACCCAGTAAAAATAATAGTGTAAACTAAAGAAGTGATTCTGGTGGTGAAACTTTTCAGCCCCATGGCCTGATTAGGTAAGTATCTTATGGAACCCCTCCACTTAGCTAGGAGGGATTCCATAAAATATTCTATTCTTTACCATGTAGGGCTGACTAGTTTTTATCAGTTTTATAGTATGTTAAAAATTTTATGTTAACAAAAAAGAAGATAAAATGTAAATTGTATTTTTCTACCATCTCTAAAGCACTTTTACGTATTGTTAAAAGGAATAAATTAGTCTCACTAAAAATCTACAGAAAAAGTCTACAGATCTTGGTGGTATTTCTGGTACTGGGTTTGAACTCTCGACTTTGAGCTCTCATTTGTCTTTTTTGGCCACAGCTGGTTCTCTATCATTTGAGCCACATTTCTACTTCAGTTCTTTGTTGCATGAGTAACCAGTGCCTGTCAGTATGTCATTTATTAATGATTAATTTGAATGGCTTTATAGGTCATGCTTTATCTGGGGGTGAACCATACAATGATTGTTAATAAGAGGTTAGCTAGGTACTGGTGGATTACACTTGGAATCAATCCTAGCTTTTCAGGAGGCTAAAATCTGAGAAGCCAGCCCTACACAGACCAATCTTGGTTCTTTATCTCCAATTAACCAGCAAAAAACCAGAAGTGGCTTAAGTGATAGAGCACCAGCCTTGAATGGAAAAGCTAAGGGTCAATGCAAGAGAAAGAGCACAGTGTCTGAGTACTTTATTAAAGAAATTGAATCCGGCACTAAAATCCCAATTCAGAACCTCACATCAAATGCCTTTTACTAAATTTTTGCATATGTATGCTGGTACTGGGGCTTAAATTCGGAGCCTGTGTGCTGGTAGCTTTTTCACTCAAGACTAGCACTCTATCACTTGAACCACACCTCTATTTTTGTCTTGTTAGTGATTAACTGCTGGTGGTAAGAATCTCTTGGACTTTACTGCCCATGCTGGTTATGAACTGTGATCATTAGATCTCAGCCTCCAGAGCAGCTAGGATTATAGGTGTGAGTCACTGGCATCCAGCTAAACTGCTTTAAGTAGAGAAATAAATGACAGTTTCCTTTTCTGGCAGTATGAGTATATATATTATTATATTTAAAATGTTTCTAAGGATGAGAATGTACCTATCAATAATATAATTGAGTTCTTTTTTTGACATACTGCTTCTCCTAGAGATAAATTCCTTTTTTGTGTTAAATTTACCTGAATAACTTTGGCAAGATTTCTAATTATAAAGTAGTTAGAAAAAAGAGAATTGAACTTTATGGGTAGTTTGATGATTGCTGTTTAGGAAACTGTGCTGCTGGAACATCCTTTCAGTGCTGTGAGACAAGAACAGCAGAGAATATGGACTGAAGATTTAAATAAAAAAACACAAGATGACTGGCAAAAGAAAACAGAGGAAAATTCAAAGGTAACCTAAGGAGACTTTATAGCTAAAGAAAAAAAAATTCAAGACTTCAACATATAAACTTCAAAGTATTCTGAAACTGCCTATTAAGACAAAAGTACTCCATATTTGCCCATAAAAACCTATTGTTTTTAAGTTTTTAGAATTTCCCAAATGTTTAAATTCTTCAGTTTTTCCAAGCTATGTATCCAAATATATGAGGAATCAAAACAGTATAATCTTGTGTTTATGAGGCTTTATTAGCTCAGTGGTAACTTTTAGACATCATATTGATTTGTAAATTTGGGATTTTTCATTGGAATAATTGGAAAAATTCTTAGCAGTTCTTATTTATCACCATCAGAGTCAGGAACATGACAGATGGGCAATGAATTTTGATTCATTAAAGAATCATCCTGGTTCTCAGTCTCGGCTGTCCTCTCAGTTCACACCAAAACACCCGGAGTACTTCTGTGTCTCCCCTGACACTCAGGATCTGGCTGATATCAGCAGTGAATATACTCTTACTCCTGGAAGTCAGATTGAACCTTCAGAGGAAGAGCATAGAGTAAAACCTGTTAGTGATGTGGCTGTGGCAAACAGTCAGAAAACAAAGTAAGTTCATTCTTTAGTATTTATTGATTTCAGAAAGTGTGTTTGGGGACTGGGAAGTTGGCTCAGTGGTAGAGTGCTTGCCTTGCATGCATGAGGCTCTGGGTTCTATTCCTCAGCACCACATAAGCAGGAAAAAAAAAAGAAGAGTCGGAAGTGGCACTGTGTGTCAAGTGGTAGAGTGCTAGCCTTGAGCTGAAGAGCTGAGGGACAGCGCCCAGGCCCAGAGTTCAAGCCCCACAACAGACAAAAAAAAAAAGTGTGTTTTAATAGTAGTATGTCTAATTGGTTTTATCTTAGTATTTTTGTGTGAAATAGAAATGATTGATATATCTCAAGCAGAAATGGTTTATTTTTTTGAGCCTACCTTATTGTTTTAAATAGCTAATTTATATATATTGTCAGCTTTCTCCGTTCTATGACTGCTCTCTTGGACCCAGCACAGATTGAGGAACGGAACAGGCGGCGACAAAAACAGCTAGAACATCAGGTATTACATTGTAAAAAGTTTTTGCCTTAGTAATGGTCAACATCTACATACACTTAAGTAAATGGAAATTATACTTTTGGTATAAGCTTATATGCAAAGGTCCTGTTCCATTCTATGCTAAAGCTAATTCCTATCCACACTGCATTGTTAGTATTCCTGCCAGTACTCTCCAATAGCCTTTAACATGTAAGTGCTGTATATGAATTTGTACTGTCTTTAGGTTAGTATTGGTTATTTTTTTCATCAGTTTATTTCCCAAGAGTTCTGTTTAGGCTGATAATTCTTAAGCAGGAACAATATGGGGATTGACATACAATTTTGTTTAAGAAATCTAGCAGATATTAAGATGTTAAAACTCCTAATTTAGTTTAATATTAAAGGGACTTAATAATCTTTTGTGGTAGTTCTTTTTTCATATCCGCAGTCTTTTATTCCTAACTCATGGGCTCAGATCATCTTCCCATCACAGTCTCCTCAATGGCTGGGACTAAAGACCAGGTACTAGGTGTTCAACACTCTACTAAACTGCATAATTCTTTAAGCACTTTAATGCATGAATGATTTGGTAGAGTGAATTTGGAGCATCTAGTTGGACATGGTGGCTCATGCTTGCAATCCTAGCTATGTTGGAGGCTTAGATCAAAAGGATCACATTTCAAAGCCAGCCTAGGCCAAAGAAAAAACAGGTTGTGAAATTCCATCTCAGTGGAAGAGGCTGAGCATGGTGATGTGCACTTGTCATCCTAGTTATTGTGGGAAACATAAAGTAGTAAGACAATCATGGTAAGACCCTGTCTCAAAATAACCAGGACAAAAAAAGGTCTGGAGGCATGGCTCAGTAGAGTATCTGCCAAGCAAATCACAAAGCCCTCAATTCAAAGACAGTACCACTCATTAAAAAAAAAAATTAGAGGCTCTGTTATTTATCAAGAAGTTTTTAAAGTATTGAGATTATTTCTTCAGTTGCTTTTCTTCCCCCCCCCCTCCCCTTGTGCTGGGGATCAAGTCTAGAGTTTATTGTGTATGATAGGTAAGTGCTCTATGACTGAGCCATACCCTAAGTTTCATTCAGTTATTTTCTATCAGTTCTTCTAATGGCCATGGTGGAATTGAAGGGGAAAAACAACAAAAAGCAATGTAGCGCTTAACTGGACAAATAAACCAAATGAATTATAATTTTGTCATTTTAAGTACTGATAAAACAGATTTATTTTCATCACCAAAGCAAATGCTCCTCTGATTTTTGTGACAATGATTTCTGAATTATTTATGACTAGAAAGCAATCACTATGCAGGTAGAAGAAAAGTGCAGAAAAAAACAACTAGAAGAAGAACAAAGAAGGAAGGAAGAACAAGAAGAAGAGCAACACTTATCACGGGAACGAGAAAAGATGCAGAAATAGTATGAAGAGGATATACTTAAGCAAAAAGAAAAGGAAGTGGGTATTTACATTTAACTGTTAGCATTTTACAATTAATAGTATATGTTTTCAGAGGAATAATAACTTTGAAGTTACTGACGCTTGATCTCAGGGCCTCTTGCTGTCTTGGCTTTTCCCCTTAAGGCTGGCACTCTACCACTTAAGCCACACCTCTATTTCCAGCTTTTTGCTGGTTAATTGGAGAGGAGTCTTTTTTCCCCAGGCTGGCTTTGAACCAAGATGCTAAGATTTCAGCTTTTTCAGTAGGTAGGATTATAGGCATGAGCCACATCCAGCACTACGAGTTGTATTTTGAAGTGGTGAAATACAAGTGGAGGCATTAAAATTTTGAATAAGAAATTGGGAAAATAAGAGAGACTCTTAAAAATGTTTTATTTTTTCACATGATTACGTTCTCAAAAGCTGTATTGACTGGCCTTTGTGCAAATGGGGGAGGTCAAGATGAATTATAGCATAATGCTAGTCATCCATATATGTGATTGTTATCTCCTACATATTAGAGGTGTGTATACTTCATTTGTAAACCATGATTGTAATGTAATTCTGTACAGAAATGATGGGCATTTCTATCCTTATCTACCAATGAAAAAAGAAGCTCCTTTTGCAAAATGGTTGGGATTGATGAAACAATCGGTGGCTGTATTCGTAGTCCTTTTGCTAAAATAAGAGCCAATTCAAATCGGTGGCTGTATTCGTACTCCATTTGCTAAAATAAGAGCCAATTCAAAGAGAGTATCTCAATAGCTAGGGGAGCTTTTCTATTAAATGATTTAGATACAGGTAGTAGAGTGTTGTCAGGTGCCATGATTGAGCCAACTCACAAAGAGCAATCATATAGTGGCATTCAGTTTCCAAAGACTAAAAGTTTAGCAATACAATAGTTTCTTATGTTTTCCCACTTGGCACTCAATGAATATTGGCTGGTAAAGGGACATATGGTGTAGGTTCCCATTTCATTGACTTAAGTCATCTAAGGCTGCAACGTTGATGTGACAGCACAAGAAGTCCATAAATACTGTATTCTTTGAATATTTATGATAATCACAAGGATCCAGACAAGTGCCTGACATCCAGGAAAGCTTAGGAAATACTGAGAATAGTCAATTTAATAACCATATACATGACTATGTTGGTAGGAAATCATGACTCTCAAGACAAATGAGCTATACCAAAAAATGCAGAGAGCACAGGAGTTAGCACAGAGACTGAAACAAGAACAGCGAATCCGAGAATTGGCTCAAAAAGGACATGATACTTCTAGATTGATGAAAAATCTTGATGGTAAGTGATTAACCAGAACTTCATATTTTTTTTTTTTTTTGGATCCGGTCGTGGGGCCTGAACTCTGGACCTGGGTGCTGTTCCTCAGCTCTTCAGCTCAAGGCTAGTGCTCTACAACTTGAGCCACAGCGCCACTTCCGGCTTTTTTCTTTTTGCTTATGTGGTGCTAAGGAATTGAACCCAGGGCCTCAGGCATGCAAGGCAAGCGCTCTCCCACTGAGCCGCCTTCCCAGCCCCAGAACTTCATAATTTTTGAAGATTATTTTAACTACTTGTCTATTTCTAACATTATCATACAATAAACAATTTTTAAGGAACTTCAGCTCTTCAGCTAATCTAACATTACTTAATAGTAGTGCTTTTAGGAAATTATCTTAGAAGTAGAGTTAAGTAAGTTTTCAGTATCTTTTTACACATAAGTTTTTCTTACAAATTGTCTATAGCAATCATGACACTGATAAAATAAATTTGTATGCATTTTTACAAAGAAAGCAGTTACTGAGGGGCTGGAAAAGTGGCTCAGTGGTAGAGTGCTTGCCTTGCTTGCATGTGGCCCTGGGTTCCATTCCTCAACACCACATAAGCAGAAAAAGCTGGAAGTGGCACTGTGGCTCAAAGTGGTAGAGCGCTAGCCTTGAGCTGAAGAGCTGAAGGACAGCGCCCAGGCCCAGAGTTCAGGCCCCACGACCGGCAAAAAAAAAAAGAAAAAGAAAACACTTACTGAGTGATCTCTGTAAATCCAGTAATGGGCAAGAACTTTTAATGAAATTTTGATTGCAGCATTCATTCTGAGTAAAGTCCTGTGTTTAGTTACTGTATGTATTTACTTTTTTTTCACTACTGAATCAGACCTAGTCTTGCAAGGTAGGCAAGTACCACCACTAAGCTACAATCCCAGTCTCCTACACATAATTTCTCTTAATAATGCTGTATGTCATTTGAAAAATATTTTTTCCTATTGCCAGTAGATGCAATGCAAGTGGATGATAAGGTGTCCCCTAAGATTTCAAGTTCAAGACATGACTCTGATGAAGCTGGCAGCAAAATAAATACATGTATCAGTTCTACTACTTCTCCCAAGAAAGATACTGGTGTGCAAACAGGTATTCATATTGAAATTTCCTTAAGGCCAAAGCATTAGTACTGAGTTCCATTTCAAGTGTAAAACTTGTGATTTATGAGACAATAAAATGACCTATTTTTTTTTTTTTTTCCAATGATACTGGCTTGAACTCGCCACCATAGCCTTTTGCTTGTTAACTGGAGATAAGGAATCTTATACAGACTTTTCTGCCCTAGTTGGTTTTGAGCCGTGATCCTCCAGGTATGACAGCATCCTGAGTAGCTATGATTATATATAAGACTGAGCCCCCAATGCAGCTCTTGGTTTTTAATTTTTTGTACTAGATTTATTTCAGATATGAATCACAAATTTACCGCCCCACCCCCCGCCCAGGACCTTACAGGTTTAGCAAACGGTTTACCATTGAGCGACAGCTCCTACACAAAACTTACCCTTTAATGGGCATAGTTAGCATTTTTCAGTATATTCCTAATAATTGAGCAGTCACCATAATTATAGATCTTTTCCCTCACTCTGATCTAGTTAGCAGAGGAATCTCTTCATTTTCTGGTTTGCTTGTTCTGCACATTTCATGTTACTAGAATGAAAATGTTCCTTTGTGTCTGGCTACTCTGCTTTAGGATAATGGCAGTAAGTACATTATTCCTGAATAGTATTCTGTTGTATGTATAATACATTTTGTTCTTCATGATTTGATAGACGTTTATTTGTACTCTTGGGCTATTGTGAATAATGTTGCTTTGACCATTCATGTACAGATTTTGTGAAAAAAGAAAAACAGAATTTCTGGATCATGTGTTAATTCTTCCAAACTGTCCAGACTCCAAAGCAGTTGTCCAGCCATCAATATATTAGGTTCTAATTTCTCCTTGTGATTGCCAACACTTGTTATATGGGGGGCATAGTAAGTGGTTCTGAATTGTATTTCCCCACGAATTGTATTTTATGAGCATCTTTTCATGTCTGGTTTTCAATTCAAATCATCAGGCAATGTCTTGGGTTGGAAGTCAGTGGGTTTTTTACCCCCTCCCCACTCTCCTTGGTGGCCCATGCCCTGTAATCTTAAATATTTGGGAGGCTGAGACTGGAATACAGTAGTTCAAAGCGAGCCTGGGCAGACAAGTCCCCAGGACTCTTATCTCCAGTTAACCAGCAAAAAACTAAAAGTGGAAATGTTGTTGAAGTAGTAGAGTGCCATCTTTGAACAAAAAGGCCAAGCAGGGACATAAAATCCTGATTTCAAGCCTCAGTACTAGCACAAGAAAAAAGAAAAAGTAAGGCCGCAAAAACAGTGTATTCATAGCCTCAATGATTATGGTAGTAAAAAGTTATATAAACTATATAGTGGAATTAGCTTTAGTAAGAAATTGATACATGCTATTGACTAAATGTTATGGCAGGTGTTTAAGCCATTTACAAAACAATGTAACTCCATTTACTGGGGTATTATCTATAGTAGTGAATGTCTAGAAACAAAGTAGCATACTGGTTGCCACTGGGGCAAGTAATGAGAGGTGCGTAGTTTCAGTTTTAATATTAGAAGTCTTAAAGTGTAACTAATAAAATTGTTTAACATTTGAGAAAAATGATAGAAGTGGTAAACTTTTATATGTGTTTAAAAAGTCATAATCTTTTTTTTTTAGATGATTTAATTACAAGAAATTTCACTAACACATTATCACACTGTGGATCAGTGATTGAAAGGGAAAATACACATTGTTCTTCTCCCCAGAGTTCTGTAGAATTTGATGGACAGCTTAACACTATGAAAGACAAGCAAGAACTAAATCAGGATAGAGTAGGCAACTTAGCAAAAGAAAATAGCTGGTGTAATGAGCAATGTAATCAGTCTATAACAGAGAAACAAACAAAACTCATGAAGAAATGTCCCACAAGACCTACTTGGAATATAAATAAACCTCTCAAAAGGTATGTTCCAGCATCAGAAAAGTACCCTAAGCAGCTTCAAAAGCAGAGAGAAGAAAAAAAAGTAAGAAGACAGATGGAACTGCTTCAATTGGTAGAGAAAAATAATTCTGAACACCTTTCTCAAAATAAAGGCACTTCACCAGAAGATTTTCATTCATCCTATCCAGAAACAGAGTCAAAAACCAGGTGGCATCTAATGAACAAGGTAAAGCTCCTCTTTCTCATTTTTAAACATGCTTGAATTTCTAAATTCAAAACACAAATGTGGCTTGATGGTAGAGTGCTTGCCTAGCAAGCATGTAGCCCTGGGTTTGATTCCTCTGTACCACAGAAAAAGCCAGAAGTGATGCTGTGTCTCAAATAGTAGAGTGCTAGCCTTGAGCAAAAGCAGCTCAGGGACAGTGCCCAGGCCCTAGTTCAAGCCCCAGAACTGGCAAAAAAAAAACCCAAAACAAACCAAAATCTCACAGTTCTCTGTAGACATGCATGTTTTTATAGAGTTCTTGTTTGTCTAAATGAGTTCCAAAATTTTATGTTAGGGGTTAGCAAACTAGATTCTATTAGCAAATCAGTCTGCTGTTTTTTGTAAATAAAGGCTTATAGGAACATAACCATACTTGTTTTAATAATCTTTTTGTGAGTGACTTTATGCTGCAAGACACCATGTATGGCTGTAAACGCTGACATTTTATTTACTACTTGGCCCTTAAAAGAATCTCAAAAACGGGCTGGGAAGTTGGCTCAGTGGTAGAGCGCTTGCCTTGCGTGTAGGAGGCCCTGGGTTCGATTCCTCAGCACCACATAAGCAGAAAAAAAAAAGCCAGAAGTGGCACCATGGCTCAAGTGGTAGAGTGCTAGCCTTGAGCTGAAGAGCTGAGGGACAGCGCCCAGACCCAGAGTTCAGGCCCCATGACCCGCCCCCACCCCCCCAAATAAAAAAATGTCAAAAGCAAGCTGTGCTTGGTGCATGCCAGCTATATGCAGATAGTAGTAAGGAGTTCACAGTCTGAGAGTACCTAGGTAGAAATAAGACCCTATCTGATAAAGTAAAAAAGCAAAAGGGCTGGTGTGAGGTAGAGTGTAGGGTAGAGTGAGCACTTGGCTACCAAGCTTTTGGCTCTAAGTTCAATACCCAGAACCATCATCTCTAAGTTCAATACCCAGAACCATCAAGCAAACATTTAGACTTCAAGAAACCTGTTTTAGACAGGTATGGTAGTATACATCTGTAATTTGTTTCAGCCCTTGAGAGGCTGAGGCAGGATTAGGAGTTCAAAGCCAGACTGCAGGGCTGGGAAGACGGCACAGTGGTAGAGCGCTTGCCTTGCATTTGGGATGCCCTGGGTTCGATTCCTCAGCACCACATAACCAAAAAGAAAAAAGCCGGAAGTGGCGCTGTGGCTCAAGTGGTAGAGTGCTAGCCTTGAGCTGAACAGCTGAGGGACAGCGCCCAGGCCCAGAGTTGACGCCCCACGACCGTACCCAAAAAAAAAAAAAGAGAAAAAAATCTTGTTTATAGTCCATATAAGTAACCAGTTGGAAGTTAAGGAATTTTTTTATTTGACTGTGAAAAAATACCTTTCTGATCAACATTAGAAATAGATTCAAGTAACATAAGTACATGGTTTCACTTGAAAATGCCATAGACTCTTTTCTATACTTCCATATCCTTTTAGGAAGAAGAACCTAGGAAAATTAATTCAATCAGTGAAGAAAGGTATGTGCATTACTTTTATAGGTATATTCACTTTATGTTTGATTCTTAAGAGGTACAGAACACATGCTCCATGTCTACTAAGGTTAGGCATAAAGGTGAAGATAAAAATGTGAAAGGAGGAGTTACCAGATGAAGGTTAGTAGTTTAAGGGATAAAAGGTTAGTAGTTTAAGGGATAGGTTTTGGATGGACTGGGATTAAGAAAAACCTATGGCTAGGGCTGGGAAGGTAGCTCAGTGGTAGACTGCTAGCTTTGAGCTGAAGAGCTGAGGGACAGCGTCCAGGCCCAGAGTTCAGGCCCCACAACCAGACCAAAAAAAAAATATGGATGACATTCTCCTATCTTCAGGTTTAGCTAAACAGTTTTTACTTATCTCAGTATGACCAGTGAAACAGGCATTATGCTTGGATTGAATCAGGAAGAAGTAATTGGGAAGATAGTAACTTTTTAACTTCTTAATCTGTCTTTTGTGCATGCATAAGCCAGCTGGTTTAGAGTTGCTTCATGTTGGGCTTAGTTCAGGTGGTGAGGACATTAATTTATGAAAAATTATCTAAGGAGAAATGAGACTTGTTAGCCCAGATAGAATTGTAATTTAATTCTCTCCTTTGTATTGAGTACATACATGTAGCTAGTAAAAATTCCAATGAACACCCTTTTCTTGCCTTGTTTCATAAATGAAACTTTTAGACTTTAGGCTTCCTTCCATGATATTCCTAAAGGTGTAATTACATTTCAAATCATTAGAGATATAATTAATTCAAGAGATATGTTTATTTTAAAAACAAAATTTCTTATTCAAGCTTTTTGGTCTGTTGTGCCTTTTTTTTAAAAAAAATAGGTTACAGTCATCACTAGTTCCAGCAATAAAAACGGAACCCAACAAACTCAGATGGATAGCTTACACTCACCACTAAAAAATAGCCACAAAAGAGAAAGTGTCAGAAGATGGTGAAACACCTGGAGTGTTTGAACCATCCCATTTTATTCCTTATGTTCGAACAAATGAGATATATTACCTGGATCCAGATGCACCCTTGTCTAGGCCTTCGACTGATCATGGCAAGTAAACCACATATTGTAGATCTAGGAACCCCCAACCCTAAATTCACTTCTAAATAATTCCTACCTGTAGTTCTACAAAGCATCTCAGCTGCACTTTATAAATCTTTAAGACTTTTAGAGTATGTATGTGAGGCTTTCTAGGAAATAAATTTACTAATGAATCTTACAGCAAACTATTTAGAAATATATTTGGCTTTTATAAATTTTGTCTGGTTTCAGATTGCAACCAAGAGCAACGCCTTGCTCTTGGTTCTGTCAGGGATCCACTTCTTAATCCTAACTTGGTAAAGAACAGGGATCGACAACAAGCAATTCTTAAAGGACTTTCAGAACTACGACAGGTATGAGATTTAAAACAAAATAAAAATAAGAATATATAGATGTGTGTGTTCTTTACATGTGGATGTGACATTAGGGAAATTTGCATGGCTAACTGCATTTTAGCTTCTCTAGTTAATCTCAAATAAAAAGGGGACTTCCTTTGGATTTCCTTTCCATCTTTACAAATATTTTTTGGTGTGATGGTGTACACATGCAGCACCTAAGAGGCAAGGAGGATCACAAATTCAAAGACCCTGTCTCAAAAATTTTTTTAGTATGAAATCATGAGACAGTCATTATACTGAGATAATTTTATTAAATGTGTACATTTAAACATCCAAACATGATCAATAAGGCCCTAAAACCAAAGATAAAATTTATGTGTTGTCAGCTTAAAACAACAGTGTTGTCTCTCCCAAATAACGTAGTTCAATATGAAATGATTGGGTCTAATAGGCTCACTGGACATTTTCCCACACCAATTATGGCCATGCTCTCTCGTTAAACAGGTTAATATATAATATTTAAGATTATAGTAACTTTACGCCATCTTTGAAACTTATAACTGGACTTTAGTTCCAAGTTGTGTTTTTTTAAATAAACTTTTTTTTAAGAGTCCAGTCATATTCTAGTGTTAACATCTCCCCCCCCCCCCATTTATTTTAAGAAGTTGGTCATGTGTTATCCATTCTTTCCCTTTCTAAAACTAGAAAATCATTCCATACTTTACTTGTGGTTTTACTCATTTGAAAGACTTTGTGAAGTACCCTTAAATGTACCTATGAATTAACTCCTAAAGTATAGAGGAAGGAGGACGATGTACATAAACTCACCAATATAGTGCCGACGCTTACTTTAGCAGAGCCAAACAATGCATGTTTCATTTTTTTTTTTTTCAGGGACTTCTTCAAAAGCAAAAGGAGTTGGAAACTAATTTCATGTCTTTAGCTACAAATCAAGAAGAGAGTTTTAGTTCTTCATTTTAAATGTTGGAAGTCATTTTTGTCTTCTCAATAGTGCTCATTACTCAATTATTTTTTAATGGCCTAATTGGATTTCTTTTTTTAAAACTCATGTAAAACATGCACATTATGTAGTAAAATGCTGTGATTTTTAAAAAAAGTTAATAAAAGACTTTTTGTAAATAAAATAAAATTTGTAAACCACCTAGTAAATTTTTTTTCTGTTGCTTCAGTCTGGTCATTTAAAAATCCTATAGATACTTTCTACTTACCATAAAGTCTGGAATTGCTGTTTAAGCTGTTGTCTTTCACGAACTCTTGAGGTGTAATAGGATTACTAAAAAATTAGCCAAGAGCTGGTGGCTCATGCCTTAGAGACAGCTAAGATGTAAGGATTTTAGTTCAGAGACAACCTTGAGTGAAAAAGCCAAGTGAGAGAACAAGGCCCTGAGTTCAAGCCCTAATATGGGCACCAAAATAAATAACTAACTCTTCACTTTTACTAAATATCAAAAATTGCATTTAGGCTATTTTTATAGCATTAATTTTAGAAATAGCATTTATTTATAGCATTATTTATAGCATTATTTATTTATAGCATTTATTTTAGAAATACTTTAAAAATTTAGCCGGAAGTGGCGCTGTGCCTCAAGTGGTAGAGCGCTAGCCTTGAGCTGAAGTGCTGAGGAACAGCGCCCAGGCCCAGAGTTCAGGCCCCACGACTGGACCCAGAAAAAAACAAACAAAAAAATCAATAAAAACTAGAAAAGATGGAAGAGGCAATACAATCCAAAAAGAGCAATCTTACCAATTGTGACAACTTCTGGATTTAGAATTGATTCATCAGATACAATAAAACCTCCAGATACATGTAATTCATTGTATGTATGATTTTTAACATCATCCAGGCTATCAACACCAGCGAGAAATACAGGCATGAGCCACCAGTGCCTGGCTCAGTATTTTGACTTTTAAGCCAAAAGACTTATAAGACTTAAGGGAAGTTGTGAGTTCTCTAAAAGTGACATTATTGAGCTATTTGTACTTGCAGTTACAAATTATGACTACCGTATCCCAAATAAGCAGAATGTACAATACCTACAGAGCATATAGAAGCATACCCATGGTTCCTAATGAGAAAGAATTACTGATAGACAGCATGCATGAAACCCTAATAGAAGACTGAGGTAAAGAATCAAACACACAAGGACTTGTGTGGGTTCCATTTGTCTGAGGTTCAAGAGGCAAAACTAAACCTATGGTAAAGTAAGTGAAAT